CCCCCCTATACCTCTCTATTTAAAAAAAGATGAATGATGAATCCCTACCACCTGATAAACCACCTGATAAGAATGAAAATGCTTTGACTACCAAATTCCAGTCGATTTGAGGAAATTATGAGCCTTTGTGGCAGGACAGACAGTCTAGAGGACAACGGACGGACGGATTACGGCAGACATAACCCCAACCTGGTCCTTGAGTCCAGGCGAGCTAATCACACACTTTTAATAGGTGGATATATGAAATTTGCTCGGATGTGTATTACCCGCTTTACAGTTAGTTGAGAGATGTAATCCTCCCTCTATCTAGTCACACGTGACTGATAAACAGCATGGTTCAGGGCCCATAGACCACATGGCTCTGTATTTATAGACCACATAGTGGGTAAATAGTTGGTAGCTGTTAAGCCGTGAAGTTGTTTGTTGAGATGCCCCCTGTACACAGCAGCTGGCTGTGGAGCTATGGCCTATTTCTGGGTTTACTACTGGTTTTAAAGCTTGGTTAGCTTGTAAGCAGTTTATATAATTTAAATATGTTTAATCATCAATTTCATAAATGAATCATCTCAACTATAAAACCTCCCTTTATGTGCGCATTACCATTGGCTGCGTCTATTTGTAAGTTTTGGCTGAACTTGCATCATTGTTGTGTTGGATAACAGATGACGGAAATATATATATATATATACATCTAATGCAACATCAAGAGGCCCGCAGGCCTGTATCTTTACATTCAAAGTGTTAATCTTGCTTGAAACCAACATTTTTATCCCAATTTCTATTTTAATTTTACAAGTAAGGATCAAAAGTAGAAAACGTCACGGAAAGCCACTGACCTGTTGTATTCGTGTACCAATGGTAGTTATTTCGGGTTTACTGCCTAAAACTAAACCTGCCAGCTCAAAATACTGTTATCATGATATAACAACTCGGAATCTGTCCATGTCTTTCCGCCACACTATTGAAATAATTAGAGATCAGTTACGTTGTACCGACTACCTAGGTATCGGACTGGACCACCTTATTTATGTAACTGTGTAGGTCAGATACAGCTTATGTAGCATGCGTTCTATAGAGCGACCTATATGTAAGTATTATCCATGTACTAATTATGTTTATTTAGATATGGTATAAACAGTCCTTCAAAATAAGAAGTCACTTTTTTTTTAAAATGTAGGTCAAATTCTACCATATGCGTTCAGAAGGGCTACCCGTGCAGAAGCATATATCATTGAACCATTATATTGTTCTGGATTCGATATAGGAAGCAATGTTAAGGTAGTCAAAGATGTGTAAAACATAGGTCAACTTCAGCATCAACCGTTAAGCAGAACGACACTACCTGCATCATTGAGTGATGTGTTTTGATTGACTGATGTGTTATGATTGACTGATGTGTTATCATTGAGTGATGTTTTATAATTGAGTGATGTGTTATCATTGAGTGATGTGTTATCGTTGAGTGATGTTTTATAATTGAGTGATGTGTTATCATTGACTGATGTGTTATCATTGAGTGATGTTTTGTAATTGAGTGATGTGTTATCATTGAGTGATGTGTTATCATTGAGTGATGTTTTATAATTGAGTGATGTGTTATCATTGACTGATGTGTTATCATTGAGTGATACAAACAACACACTATGCATCCGTTTTCTGTATTTTTGACGAAACAAAGTGGTTGACTCTGCGGACAAGCAGTCCCCAGGATAGGCCATAGCCTTGTAGCTGGACTATCGTCCCCTGGACTATCGTCCCCATGATAGGCCATAGCCTTCCAGCCGGACTATCAGTCCCCAGGATAGGCCATAGCCTTGTAGCTGGAATATCAGTCCCCAGGATAGGCCATAGCCTTTTGCTGGACTATCAGTCTCCAGGATAGGCCATAGCCTTGTAGCTGGAATATCAGTCCCCAGGATAGGCCATAACCTTGTAGCTGGACTATCGTCCCCATGATAGGCCATAGCCTTCCAGCCGGACTATCAGTCCACAGGATAGGCCATAGCCTTGTAGCTGGACTATCGTCCCCATGATAGGCCATAGCCTTGTAGCCGGACTATCAGTCCACAGGATAGGCCATAGCCTTGTAGCTGGACTATCGTCCCCATGATAGGCCATAGCCTTGTAGCCGGACTATCAGTCCACAGGATAGGCCATAGCCTTGTAGCTGGACTATCGTCCCCATGATAGGCCATAGCCTTGTAGCCGGACTATCAGTCCACAGGATAGGCCATAGCCTTGTAGCTGGACTATCGTCCCCATGATAGGCCATAGCCTTGTAGCCGGACTATCAGTCCACAGGATAGGCCATAGCCTTGTAGCTGGACTATCGTCCCCATGATAGGCCATAGCCTTGTAGCCGGACTATCAGTCCACAGGATAGGCCATAGCCTTGTAGCTGGACTATCGTCCCCATGATAGGCCATAGCCTTGTAGCCGGACTATCAGTCCACAGGATAGGCCATAGCCTTGTAGCTGGACTATCGTCCCCATGATAGGCCATAGCCTTGTAGCCGGACTATCAGTCCACAGGATAGGCCATAGCCTTGTAGCTGGACTATCGTCCCCATGATAGGCCATAGCCTTGTAGCCGGACTATCAGTCCACAGGATAGGCCATAGCCTTGTAGCTGGACTATCGTCCCCATGATAGGCCATAGCCTTGTAGCCGGACTATCAGTCCACAGGATAGGCCATAGCCTTGTAGCTGGACTATCGTCCCCATGATAGGCCATAGCCTTGTAGCCGGACTATCAGTCCACAGGATAGGCCATAGCCTTGTAGCTGGACTATCGTCCCCATGATAGGCCATAGCCTTGTAGCCGGACTATCAGTCCACAGGATAGGCCATAGCCTTGTAGCTGGACTATCGTCCCCATGATAGGCCATAGCCTTGTAGCCGGACTATCAGTCCACAGGATAGGCCATAGCCTTGTAGCTGGACTATCGTCCCCATGATAGGCCATAGCCTTGTAGCCGGACTATCAGTCCACAGGATAGGCCATAGCCTTGTAGCTGGACTATCGTCCCCATGATAGGCCATAGCCTTGTAGCCGGACTATCAGTCCACAGGATAGGCCATAGCCTTGTAGCTGGACTATCGTCCCCATGATAGGCCATAGCCTTGTAGCCGGACTATCAGTCCACAGGATAGGCCATAGCCTTGTAGCTGGACTATCGTCCCCATGATAGGCCATAGCCTTGTAGCCGGACTATCAGTCCACAGGATAGGCCATAGCCTTGTAGCTGGACTATCGTCCCCATGATAGGCCATAGCCTTGTAGCCGGACTATCAGTCCACAGGATAGGCCATAGCCTTGTAGCTGGAATATCGTCCCCATGATAGGCCATAGCCTTGTAGCTGGACTATCAGTCCCCATGATAGGCCATAGCCTTGTAGCTGTAATATCAGTCCCAGGATAGGCCATAGCCTTGTAGCTGGACTTTCGTCCCCATGATAGGGCATAGCCTTGTAGCTGGACTATCGTCCCCATGATAGGGCATAGCCTTGTAGCTGGACTATCGTCCCCATGATAGGCCATAGCCTTGTAGCCGGACTATCAGTCCACAGGATAGGCCATAGCCTTGTAGCTGGACTATC